GGTGAGCTGAACAGCCTTCTCAGTCGGGTACTATAATTAGACTATGGATATCTAGTTTAGATGTAGGCACCTAAATTTCAGACGTAATGGGAGCTGAATGAGCCTTTGCTTTTGCAAAATATTGCGCAACACTAGTGAATGGCAAGTTGTATATCATTGGAAGAAGTATTTGAGAGCATCCGTCAAGCTTTTCTTAAATAATCCCCTCTTGTCAATTTGACATAGTTTTTCTCTATTTTACCAAAGTAAAATCTCCCTTAAAGAAACAAAAAAAAAACCCAAACCAAACAAAACCAAAAATACCCACAACCGTATTTTTAAATCTTAAGTTTCAAGGTTTAATTCCTTTGCATTGGAGGTCTTTGGTTTCTTCTTTCCTTGCAATACTTGTTTGGCAGTCAGTCTTCTCAGTTTCAGCTGTTTCTATTATGGTTTCACAAAGATGCTGCTGAAGCCTGGCTCAAGCATTGCTAAAAAAACGGTTGTTAGAGCATCTGAGGTGAGAGAAGCCAAGGCATCCAGCACACCTCCCACTACTTCTGTTCCAGTACTCACTCCTAGAACACTTGTAATGTAGACAAAATTTTTAAATGCCTGATAAGAATTTCTGGGAAAGCAACTGTGTGGGGTGACACTGAGATGATTTACGTATTTTATGGATGACTGATTTTAGTATAAAGGACGACATTTCTTAAAGAATGTTCTGTAAGTAAAGGTTTCGTATGATGTGTTGAAAGCAGGAGAGATCTATTCTCACGTGACTCTTAAAAAGGGATACGAAACTATAAATTTTGAAGATGGAATTAAAATATACGTAGAGTGTGGAACATTTAATCTTTTTTCAAAGCTGCAAGTACTGCTTGTAGTATAGACAGATTTCTCTTCTCTGCTGTGTTCGCACAGAAGTGAGGATTTTAGGTTAACATACATGTTTTGTGATGTTTGAATTCTTTCTTTGCTTGTACACTCCTAAGGCCTCCTCCAGCAGAGCTGACAACAGCTTTGCCTGACAGAACAGTTAGAGGAGAGTTAGAGACACCTAATACTCACTGAAATCTCAGAGAAGTATGAGAACACAAAAGAATGATGCTTTAATCTTTTAAAGAAGAAAAAATAAACTCTACACAAAATCATTCTTACAGTGAAATATTTCTTAGTTCCAGGGGCTCAATTGCTGTTGAAGCTAAAAAAGGGACCACGCCTTAGATGAAGGCAATTAGGAATGCCAAATCCTAGCTTTGCCAGTTCCTGGTAATTGGCATATCAATCTAAAGGGATATTGCATACAAAAAGTATTTGAATCAAACGCTGTTAATCTATTTTTCTCCTGTACAGATCTCAAAACAATGAGTGAGCGACTCAAGAATAGGTACTACGTGTCTAAGAAATTATTCATGGCAGACTTGCAGCGAGTCTTTACAAATTGCAGAGAGTACAACCCCCCCGAGAGTGAATACTACAAATGTGCCAATATACTGGAGAAATTCTTCTACACAAAAATTAAAGAAGCTGGATTAATTGACAAGTGACACTGTCTTTTTTACAACCAATCAGCGTGCCTGCTTTATGGGCAGGGGAAGCCGTTATATATCTGAGTTGTGGGACTTCAAGGTTTCAAGAAACTTCTGTTTAATACTTAGCACTTTTAAAAACCCTTTTAGTTTTGCAAACATGTATTATACTGAAGTTACAAAAATTATTTTATTAAAATGCTTTATAACGTATTTAATTACGGAAAATTTCTTTTGTGTGCCCATTACCATATGTTCATAGTAAGTTTATCAGCTACAGCCTCAGAAACCCCACGAAACATGTGGGAAATTGCACATGTTTGGGAATATGAAGAAAATTCCCAGACAACAAATGTTATAGCTTACCTAATGCAGTACCTATTTGATAGTTTTATTATTTTTTTCCAGTAAAAAAGAAAACAGTAAGGGATAACAACAGTTGGGGGGGGTTCTGAAACACTGTTTCTTTGTAGAATCTTTTTATAAGATATTATTTTTTAAAAGAAACACTCAGCTGGTTGAGAAGCTGTGAGAAAAGAGCAGCCAGTTCTGAAAAAGGACTGCCTGTAATCTTTGATAGATGCAAGTTTTTCTATTCATTTTGGGTTTTGATAAATATTTTACCTGCAGATTGTAATCTCATAACCACTATTTAAAAAAAAAAATAAAAATCTGGCTAGATGTGTAATGTCATAATGACTTGGCTTATGCAGGACATAAGTACCCAAAATAACTTCAGAGAATTCAATTTGCGCATACTAGACAAGTTCAATTGGCTTAGTAGAGTTAAGGTTTTGATGCACTTCATGATCCACCCTATTTACTGCTCTTCACTGATAAATTCTTTAGATTATTCAGCAGAGATAAGACTATTGTACACAAAAGACGTCAACATATGACAGCTGCTTAGCTTATATACTTGGCTCTGTGGTAAACTGGATTTTCTACCAAGCTTTATTGTAAATGCTTATTAACTGTGATTATTTAGACCCAGGAACATATTAACATTTTACAACTCATGTTAGTATATCTTCAAATTGAGCACTTATATATATATATATACAAAATATATATATATTTTGCTGCTTACACTACATTTAAGAGGTACACCTAACTTCCTAATGGAGATCAGTACAGGCCAAAAAGTTGTCACTTGACATTTTCTAATTAGAGTTTGTAACTGTAAATTAGAATTGCTTTTGTGAAAAACAGATTTAACTTTAATTCTTGGTGTTTTATATTTACAGATGTTACACTGGTAAAATTCAGTAGTTATAAGACTGAAAAAACCCCAATCCTGTGCTGTGTCAAGGAATATATTCCTGCAAAATGCCTGTGCAATGTTAAATCACAAGTCGATTCAGCAAGTAGATGTCAGGAACTACCTGGAAGTAGTAAATGTGGTACACAAGGTATTCAAAATGTTAACACTAGACTTGCCATAGTGTTTTGTATGAGATTAGTCTGACCTACATTTGGATCTATAACAAAGGTACAGTGAGTATTTTTTTTTTTAATAGCCAGTACTGGATGCTATAATCCTGTTTTGTAGATTGGGCCTACAGATGCACCTGTTAAGCTTGGTATCCTGTGAAATTTTGTTATTTTCAGAGTAGATTTTCTTATCGTCTTTCAATCAGATTTGTCTCTTCTATATTGAAACATTTGTTTTCTAATTTAAGAATTAATATTTTCATAGATACTGTGCAATAAAGTTACGGTAGGATATGTGGTTTTGCAAATGCTTTAACAGCTGATGAATTTTACATTTGTAAAATTAATATATTGTACTGGTACAGAATAGTTTTAAATTATATATGTACAAAACCCTACTTATTTTGGTCTCTTTTTTTCATTAATTAGTTCTTGCACTACAGATATACACACTAAAGCAATTTCTCAACTGAGCAAGTGGCTCTACAAGAACGCAGTCCGTGCCTCTTCCAGGTACACTGGAAAATATGCAAAAAAGCCTCAGAGTTCCCTGGGAGCTGAGAATTCAGTACGGAAAGCTATGACCATGCTAATACCTCACAGACAATTAGAGAGTATGAAGAGATTTATTTTTTTAATTCCCCATCCCCTAAGATTTAGTCCTGTGCCACATCACATAAAAGCATGCTGTTCAGAGGGTAGCAAGGAGTGGTAAAGAGGCTTAGCTGTTTTCCTGGATGCTTCTAGGAACATCAGTTGATGTCAGGTGAGCTAGACTCAGACTCCTTCTTGCAGTTGTGATGGAACTGCAGCAATTCTTCAAGCTTACTCAATCCAAAAAAGCCCCAGGCCCACCACACTTGCCTTGGGCTACTTGGCTATCACATTGTTCTTTTTCTGTCCCTCATAAACAGCTGTTACAGAAAGGGAAAGATCTTACACCTATTGAAGTGGGACGGGCAAGACAGGCAATCTTGCAAGGCAAGTGAAGAACCTGTATTTTTGTACTTTCCCATTATTTATTTTGAATGTAGCTTTCCTCTTTGTATTCGTGTATCCATTAATACTTCTTAAATGTTTCTAAGCAAAAAAAAGCTAGCTTGAGGGCTCTGCAACCTTGAAATCTCACTGTAGAGTTTATAACAGTGTTGTTCTAGCATATTGCCTGTTGTAGTACCAAATGGTACCAGTTCAGATGTGGCAGATCTTCCCCTAGTAAAGGCACTTGGCAAAGCAGGGCCAAAATTATTACAAAGTCCCATAATAGCAGTTTAGTTTACGCTCTGCCAAAGCAGAGCACTCTTCACCAACTTTCACAGATAAATTTGCTTTGTTCCTATTATCCGCTTAAAGTTGATTATGACTTGCATTTGTAGCAGTACCAACCAACTCTAAATTCCTACTTTTGAGAGCTGCAGCTTCATAATCAAATTACACCTGGCACTCTTGCTTCTAAACAATGCTTATGCCCCATAAGATAGGAAAGGAGTACACTAGGTTGCAGTATGCCTACTACTGACATTGCTACCCTTGAAGCCAATATAGAAACTGTGCAAAAAGAACACCAACCTACTCCAAGCTGTTTCCAAACACTAAGATGTTTATTACGAGCTTCAATGTGAAACTACAACCGTTACATAAACAAGATCTGTACAAACATTGTTATAAAAAAAAAACAAAACCACAAAAACATTTGATCTTAAGTGCCTGAAGTTCACCTTTGCAACCATTGTAAGATCAAGAAGGGTATAAGTCATAAAATTACATTCACCATCTCTTCCATCAGATATTCCTGATACACTCACAGATCCATGATGTAGGGATGCCTTCTCTCAAAAGGGTTTGAATGGAATCACCTTAAGTTATAAAAATTGTCTATATCATTAAAAACGAGCCACTGGATTAAAAACAAAACCCTTTAATTTTATATCCTTGTTATTAGACACATAGAAATAATTGTTTATTTGCGTAAGATACTGCACAACAATAATTGCTGGATGAAAGATTGCCTTTCTTCATGGAGCAAGCGTGGTTTTGCTATCATGACTGCAAATCTCAACGACAACCAACAAATTTCTCATTGTATTTTGACAGAGATTCTTTCTTAAGAGAATGGCACTTAGCATCTTTTTTCTCCTTGAAAATTGGAGAATGCAGAAAATGTGTATCTGTAAATGGATCTCCTCTCCTCAGTTTCCTGTTAAAAAAAAAACAGAAAAAAACAAAACCCGAGCAAAATTGAGTTTTGTTCCCCACATCACTTAAAACATTAACTTTCAGCTAGTAAGTTCAATTTCACATGAACTATTTCATATTACTAACATCAGACCTCTCAATGTTTTGTTAAGAACTTATTTCCAATATTTAAATAATCCCCTCAAATCCTCCATTTGATGGAATATCATGAACTTTATATCAAACTGGAAAGTAAGACACCTACCCTGCAATACTTGGTTCTTTATAGTTCACAGTAAGAGTACAGCTTCGCTTGCGTTTTGGAGATCGTAGTCCTTCACCTTCTGGGACAATAGTTGCATTCCCCATTCTGGGAAGCAATGAAGCGGTATTGGTAACATCACAAAGATGACCACGAGATGGCTCAGAAGGCTGCCCTAGGAAGAAATTAGGGACACTTAAGACAATTCAGGCAAGCTAGCTTAAAAGAGAATGTCAATGAGCACAGTAGATGTGAAGTAACTCTCAGCTACAACTATTATCTTCATCTTTCCACTTAAGAACACAGAAGAGGATCAACAAATATTCAGGATTTTAATTTGGAAAAATAAATTAACACTAAGCAGTGCCAGGCAAAGTGTGATTTGTTATTCCACTTCTCTCTCAATTATACTTATTTCTCTTTTTCCTCAGCTTTAATACATCATTAGACATATCTAAAATATAGTATTAATTCACTGTTGACCAATTTCTTAAACAAAACATATCTTTAATTTCAATTTCTGCTGAGAAAAAAAAATAAGACAGAAGAATTAATCTAATAATTTTTTATAACATTATTCTGCTTGTATTTATTAAAAAAACCTAAAATAAAAAAGCCTAAAATCCCTTAAACAATCTCTCAAGGAAACAAAACAAATTACAGAACACTTTCTATACTTACTAATAGACTTGTCACTTGATTTATTGCTTTCAGTCTCTTTTTCATTATGGAGTTTTTGCTCACGCTGTGCCAAACATCTTTTAGACCTTGGTCTTGCATGGACTGGTGATGTATCTTTCTTGTCCACTGAACTTCTCCTTTTTTTTGATTTATTCGTGTAAGGCTCATAGAGGCTATCATCTGAATCTTCAATATCACTTGACTCGACGGTATTTGTTTCAGATAAGTCTTTGTCATCCACACGAGTATCTGTGTCATTCACCTTATTTTGTCGAAAAGGTGTAACATGGACACTCTCCTCAAAATGAAAGTCATAAGCATCGCTGGAGCCGCCCAAGAAATCCAACTTTTCTTTGGAAGCCTCTTTACCCTGTTGTTTTTTCGGTCTTTGTCTGGAATTATTTTTAGGCCGTTCCAGTTTTCCCTTCTGACGCTTATCTTTCCATACTTGAGAGTCTTTTCTGCTTTTACACTTGTGTTGTTTAAGATCAGAATTATTGTTTAAGTTATACTGTGCAGTTTCAGAATCTATCCGCCTCAACAGCAGCTCTGAACCTACCTTGTTTTCATTCAACTGAGAAATATCTGAATTTATGTTTTCTATAGTACACCTCTCTAGACTTTCCTCAAGTCTAATTTCATCCTGTTTAGAAAGCTCTTTTGTTGAATCAGGTGCTTCTGAATGGTCCAAGACACCAGTGCAAAGTTCATTGTGATTTCTCATCTTTGAATAGCGACGCCTGGTGGACACACTTTTTGGTAACACATTACCAAATCCATCCTCTCCACTTGAAGAAACCTTTTCCAGCTCTGACCCTGTGTTGTCCAGATGAAAATCAGATGTTCGTCCTTGTAATTGAAGAGAAAAAGTCATATTAAAGCTAAATAGTAACAGCCTGTTAGGGTTTTGTGCAAATTCTGAACCTGTCAAAAATTAAGGCTATTCTTAGAATTTTCTCCACAGATCCGTATAAATCAGTATTTGGCAATCAAGTTAAGCTCTGTTTAATACAGCTTCCAGACAGAAAGCACTTAAGTATACTACATTAGAATTTTCCTTTAAAAACTGTTCTGTTTGGAAAGGTTATCTACAGGTCATTTATTTTTCTGAGTATTTAGCTTTGTCAACAATTGTTGATTTCATAAATGATAACAGATGATTAAAGATGAACTCTTGAACTCTGTTGAACTATTTGGTAGATAATGAAAATAGATTGCAGGTATATGGAAGACAAAGCATTTTCAAATTCCTCTCCCTTTTTGCCAGGCATCTTCATTCAGAAAGTTTACCGATTGCCAATGTAAATATCTAACCTTTATAAGAAGTGGAAAATTGCTTGACAGTTACTTCAAAAGCAGTAATTAAGTTTTAAACTTATACTCACACATTTTTTTCCTGATTCAGAATAGAGCAATGTCTGATACTTTGATTTACCTTTGTCTGGAACTATTTTGATTAAGGAAATAACATTGTCAGATTCCTCACAGATCTCTGACACAGAATGAGCCAGCTCATTTCTATCGCTATCAGCCTCCATCACACTTGGAAGTACTTGATCATCTCCATCAGCACACTGTAGATGTCCTCTAGAGAAAATACCAAAGGTAGTATTTACTCAATAGCAATATATTTTATGACAATGAACTACTTCATTACACTGGATTTCTTCCCTTCTTCCAGTCAGAAAATTAAGCTTACTGTAACAGAATTTTCAAACATAAATAGGTATTAATAAAAGATACTTACACTGAATGTATTTCTCCTACGACATCGGAATTATTTTCAAGAACTGAAGAAAGCACTCTCTGATTCTGTCAACAAAATAAATCTTACCGTGACTAAATAGCTGAAACAAGCTTGCACCATATACAAATTTTAGACAACAGCCAAGTTGCCCACAGAAAGGCCAAACAGGCCCTTGACTCTTTTTCTTTCTGGCTGGCTAATGCAAAATGCTGTGGGATTTCACATACTCAGCTGCTGCAAGTCAGCACATTCATCACCAGCCCAATCATACAGATAGTTCACAGGGGAAGGAACTGCGAAAGAACAAGACACAAAACCATAGAAAATCAGGGTGCCCCTAGCACCTCATAGCAGAGCCTCAGTCCCACTAACAACCTACTACACACCCTCACAGTCTGGGCCCCCTGTCATGCTGGGAACCGTGGGACTAGTCGTACCTCCAAACTAAGACTCAAATATCAAAAACTACATGCATCTATGCTGGAAGGAGTAAGGGGAAGAATTAACAGAAATCCTGCCCCTCAAGAAGAAAAGGTACTTACTATGCCTATGGAACACAAATTCTTTGCTGGGCTAAGGAGATCAATTGAGTCCCGTAAATTCTGAGAAACTTTTGAAATGATCTCATTCAAGGCTGACAGTTGATTCTAACGGACAAAAGGAGGAAAAGAACACTGTTATTGTCATACTCTAGTATCCACTGCCAATGTAATAACTTTTTATCGGTATTATGAGATGACTAAATCCTGAAGGTACCTGTGTCAGATACCTTCAACTGTGATAAAAAAAAAAATTCACAGAAGATAGATTTTAATTAAAGAGGAAAGAGTAGCCAGAAAAAAAACACCCAAACATTTAGTTAGTGACAAGATTAGATGAAAATATGAAAAAACTTGTTCTATATGTTTAGTTATTTTTTTATGAAACCTTTAAGATCATAAAGATATCAGTGGGTTGGTGCAGATTCTGATGTTCAGCTTCACTAAATCGTAACGTTATTATTATTATAAATACCTCAACAAGTCCTTGTGCTTGCTTGAACCCAAGATTTCTTTGCAAGTCAAACATGTGAACCTTCAGATCTTGATACTCTTTCCTTAAATGAAGGATGGTAGCCTCGGCATCCCTCAGTTTGAGCTTTTCTTCTTGCAAAGCCTGAGCTAGAGCTTTGTTGTTTGCTTGGATGCTCTTCATTTGCATGGAGCTGTTGGCTGCAACAGAACAGTGATTATTTCAACTTGGTTTAAAAAAAAAAATTGTGAAAACTATTAAAATATATAAGCATCTTACTTGCTATTTTGCACTTTACAGTGGAGATCTGGCTGATTTTACCCAACCTCATCCATTTCTGATTTCTCTTCTCTTTCATTCGTTCTTTTATATCAGCCAGACTGTCTTTGAAGGGCTTTTTCAAGTATTCAGCCATCTTCTACCTTTAGAAATATAACAGGGGAAGAACTCATTAAGCTGGTGTTGCACAATTCTCCCCGACGCCAAAAGGAACGGAGAAACAAGAGCAAAGCTCACGGTGTGTTTAAGTTGCATATACACACACGTAGAATAGACCCACAAATATGAAAAGACACGCAGCTATAGCCGTTTTCAAAACAATTTTTGCAGCATGGCTACTGTTACCATTGCCGATTATCCGAACTGCAAACCGCACGGTGTCCGCGGTGAAGACCAGGCCGAGGCCTCTGAACACCCGCATCGGGGAGGTACGGGGGGAAGTGGCAGGGGGGTGGTGGCGGTATCCCCGAGGCGTCGGAAGCAGGCCCCCGGCTCCTCTAACACTGAAGGAAGACCCTCACGACACCCACCCACCCACCGACCGACCGACCGACCAGCCGTACCTCCTCAGAAAGGCGTATACACCGCCGGGCACCTCCCACGCACGGCCGCGGCTGCCCGCGCCCCCGGCGGAAGAGAGACC